GAAAGCTTTTTCTTATTCCTGGGCAGGGCTGTTTCTGGGAGCTCTGGGCTGGCTGCAGGATGCTGCCCTGCCTCCAGCTCTGATCCATGGAGAGGGGATTAGCTGGGGTGTCCCATTGCCTGGGGAGCTGCTATGGAGCCAGGGGAGCACACATCCCAGTGTCAGGGGGATGCTTGTTGCTGTCGGGAGGAGGACGTTCCTGCTGTGGATCAGAGATGCTACAGCAAAGCTTTTGAAGGGCTGGGGAGAGGCTGCTGTGGCTGGGGAGTGGAGAGTTAGCGGCCAGGCCAGGAATGCTCATGCCCAGGCTGAGTCCCTGAGCTGCAGTGGAAGGTGGTGTTTCCTGGGTGCCACTGAGCTCTGCATCCTCTGGGCTCTGCCATGCAGGTAACCCAAACACTGAACTGGCTGGTGCGGACGTCTTCAGAGCTGGAGACAAACATTGTGGCCGTGGAGCGGGTACATGAGTACACGAAGGTGAAGAACGAGGTGAGGAGACCAGGCAAACACCTGCTGCACAGCTTGATGATAGCCAGCATCACAGGCTGCAACCCACGAACTCTCCTGTGCCTCCAGGCTCCATGGGTGACAGAAAAGCGTCCACCCCGTGGCTGGCCCAGCAAAGGTGAGATCCAGTTTGTGGACTACAAGGTTCGTTACCGACCTGAACTGGAGCTGGTTCTTCAAGGGATCACCTGCAATATTGGGAGTGCTGAGAAGGTGAGGACCTCTCTGCTTCTGCTCTCACTATACCCTTCCCATAGTGACATGGTGTTAAAGTTGTTTCTGTCTTAGCTTCGGTCTGTGGGCTGGGAGCAATGGTGATGGGATGTAGCTCCTGGGGCCTTGTGCTGCTGGGCAGGGACAAAAGGAGACAGTCTAGGAGATGGTGATCGCAGATGCAGGGCAGGAAAGCCTACCAGACCAAGATAGAGAGCATCTGGCCTGTTTTCTTCAACCCTGTCAGCTGGTCTAAATACCTGCTTCCACAGGTTGGGGTTGTGGGCCGGACAGGCGCTGGAAAATCCTCCCTTACCAACTGCCTCTTTCGGGTGCTGGAGGCTGCTGGAGGGACAATCATTATCGATGAGGTGGATATAGCAACAATTGGCCTCCATGACCTGCGCCAGAACCTCACCATCATCCCTCAGGTGAGCTGATCCCCACCTTTCCACGTCCCACTGCTGCATGGCCTCCCCAGGCTCTTTTCCCTGGGCTACACATCACCTTTAGTGCATCCCTGGGTGCTGCGGGGTGTCCAAGGGCCTGTGAGCATGCTGTCGTCACCTCCTCTGCCCAGCTGCCGGCAGTGGGGTGGGCAGGATGTGGCCAAACTTGGGTGCCTGGAGCCATCACCCCTGCTGAGTGGCTGTGGAGTGGCTGAACACAGTGCTGTCCCTTGGCAGGACCCTGTGCTCTTTACTGGCACCCTGCGGATGAACCTGGACCCCTTTGACCAGTACACAGATGAGGAGGTCTGGAAGGCCCTCGAGCTGGCCCACCTGAAGACATATGTGCAGGACCTTCCCAAGGGGCTGCTGCATCTTTTGAGCGAGGGAGGGGAGAACCTGAGGTGAGTGGAAGAGCAGAGGCACATGCAGCTCCCCTCCCTTCCCCTGGTCCCAGGGAAGAGCGACCCTGAACAGCAGCCTCCAGCAGAGTGGCTGTCCAGGGATGAGGGCACATAAGTTTCTGGGAGTGAAGGTGCGAGAAAACGGCCCAGGTGTCAGGGCTATCAGGAGGCCAGCATGAACCAACGCTTCCATGGTGGCTCAGAGAGCAAGATGCTGAGGGATGTGGTGCTCAGGGTGGCAGATGATCAGCTGGGGCAGGGAGAGCTGGGCAGGCATGGTGCTGGGGTCAGGGCAGTGTGTAGCAGTAGGCTTGCAGAAGCCATGCTGGTGCCTGCCTAGTAATTGATGTTCTCTGCCTCATCCCAGTGTTGGGCAGCGGCAGCTCGTGTGCCTGGCCCGAGCCCTTCTCCGCAAAGCCAAGATCCTCATCCTTGATGAAGCAACAGCAGCTGTAGATCTGGAAACTGATCATTTAATCCAGACAACAATCCGGAGCGAGTTTGCTGCCTGCACTGTCCTTACCATCGCCCACCGCCTCCACACCATCATGGACAGCAACAGGTACCATGAGGCAAGGGGAATGGGGCTCTGGTTTCCTAGGATGGGACAAAGAGGTGGCTGGCAGCATAAGCAAGGATGCAGCCAGAAAGGCAAGGGTGGATGCAGTGCCTGGGACAGCAATATACAGAGCTTCTAGGAAAGTAAAATAGAGGGATGGGAAGGGTGGCCATGCAGTAGTTATGCCTTTGTAGGGAGAAACATTTTTTTGGATCCTTCTTTTCAGTGATAGGCCATAGAGGAGTTGTTGACAACTCATGTGTGTCACCCTGCCAACACAGGGAGGCAAGCTGTGCCCTCACCTCAGTGTTGGGAGGTGAACCACAAAACGTGATAGTAGGAGTGAAGGTCGGTGGGGCTGTAGTGCTGGTGCCACCAGTGCTATTGGCTGGGATCCCAGGAGCTCAGGCCTTCTCATTCCCTGCTGCCAGGGTGATGGTGCTGCAGGCCGGGAGGATTGTGGAATACGACAGCCCCGAGGAGCTGCTCAAGAAGCAGGGTGTCTTCTCCGCGATGGCAAAGGACGCTGGCATCACAAATATAGAAACCACCATGCTGTAGGTGAAGCAGAGCAGTGTGCGGTGTGTGCACAGGCAGCTCCCTCCCACTGGCACTCACCAAGCAGGCACTGGCATCTCCTCGCAGCCGGGCTGCCCAGGAATGTGTGTCTCTGCAGCTGGGAAGCGGGGAGGGTGGCTTCTCTAGCTGTCAGGGACAGGACTTGAGTGAGCTGTTAACCTTGCTACCACACCCTGCCTGCTGTGCACACGAGGGTCTGGAGCTGCATAATTTATTCCAGCATAAAGGGGAAAAAAATTATCTGCCAGGCAGGGAGACCATGACCTCCTTGGGGGTCTTAAGTTTTTGTACTTCCCCACGCCAGGGGAACCTGCTAAAAAAGATGCTTTAGCAGTATGGAATGAAATTTACAGTTTAATCTAAGCCTTAATGTTATAATTTATTTACATTTTGTAACTGTTTCTAGTCTTCCAGGTAAAAGTCTGACTTTAAGGCATGCTAAATAAGACTCGGTTTAGCTTTAAACCTGGCTAGTGTTTGGAGGAAGCTGGTAACACAGGTTATGCAGGCACACACGCATGAGGAGTCTAAATTGAGTGCCACAGCTATACCCAGGCATGAACACCACTCTGGCAGTGGAGGTGGAGAAGCCAGGGCGGGCCTACCTTCCCTATGGCTCCAGTTTCCTTTGATCATAGTGCCAACAAATGAAGCAGTCCCTGGGGCTATTGTAACCACTAGTGAGGCAGATTTTGGGCTGTGGCTTCAGACTACAAACCTGTGGTGGAGACAAGCTGGAGAAGTGCAGGTACGCGTGCATGCTACACTGACGCACACACACAGAACACGATGGTTACCCTTGACAAACTCTTGACCCTTCTTTGTTCTTGGGCATGAAAGCAGGAGCTGCAGCACTGACACCGACTGCTGGCATGCGGAGAGCCTGTGCCCATGTGCACACTGCCTACCCACATACAGCAGGGCAAACCCCTTCACCCTGGCTGGTGGCAGGAGGGACATGTGCTACCCGCAGGCCCAGCCGAGTCATGTAACACACAGCAGGGGGAGAGGGCAGTGCAATCACTTCATCTTAACAAAGAAAGAACTTTCCTGTGAGGGTTTCCTAGTTACTGAGCTGACACCAAGGCATAAGCACATGGGACCCCACCAAAAGGCAAATGTTCTTCCTGGCCCTGCAGGGTCTGCATGAAATCTGTGTGCTTTGCCCCCCTCCCAGCTCTCCCGACACTTGCACAGGCACCTCCTGTACACAAGGGCAAATCTTTATTTACAGAGCAGCAGTACAGGGGACACAAACATTGCCCCAAGGAGAAGGGGGCTTCCCCCGGCTTCAGGGCACAGCAGCAACAGGTAAGACACAGCACCCTGGCAAAGGGCACCACATCCCTCCCAGGGAAGGCCTTGTCCTCCCAGCATGTCAGCACCATCTCCACTGCCCTGCAGAAAAGCTCAGGTGAGGCAGTCCTGGTTCAGAGCACTCCCCCAAATCAGGCTAGAGGACAGCATGCGCTTTGCCTTCTGCCCTGCCCCAGCCCAGAGCAGCCAGGTGGGCATGTCAGCACAAAGATGGGTCTTGAGCACTGGAGATGCTACACTGACAAGGGAATATGGCATCCTGGATCTATGGCTCACCTGGGAGATGACAACCCAAATAGCTGTTGCTAATAGCAGAGCTTGGAGAGGCCCCAGCGCCTGGGAGACCAAGCACAGGGATAAAGTACCCACTGGGGGCTTGGCTGTGTGGGCTTTCAGAAGCCAGGCCAATCCCAGCCCCAGAGTTTAACTACTTGCAGCAAAACTGAAAGCCACTTCCCCAGGCAGCATGTAGATGTCCCACCCTGAGATCCTGCGCAGACAGGTGAACCAGGCTCTTCCTGCTGCTGCTGAGAAGGCACAGGGAGCACATTAACAGGGCCTGGGTTGGTTTTAACACTATTTGGCTAAAGCTGGACTCCAGAAACTCAGCATTAGCCTTCCACAATTTAAACCCACAGCAGCTCCTCAGCCTTGGTCAAGCCGTTCCCTCACAGACCATGGTCCTACATTTTGCTCCCCTGCTCCTGGCTGGACACAGGAGGATACAACAGCACAGGGTGAAGGCAACTCACCTGTGCCCTCACACAAGCTGCCTGCTCCTGCCTGCCCTGCCAGCCCATTCTTCTTCCCCTCCAGAAGGTGAGATACCAGCCAGTGTAGTGGGGCCCAGGAGCACTGCATGGCTGCAATGGACACAGCCTCGCAGCGAGCAGTGGGGGCCGCAGGGCTGGCCAGCCTTCCTGAGGCCCCTGGCAGGAACAAGGCAGAGGGCGCAGGCTACTGCCCACTGCCTCACGTGTACTCTGTCTTCCGGATGTAACTGGAGGGCACGTAGCCCTGCTTCCCGTGCGCCTCAGCCAGCCACCACTCCCGATTGCCTGTGATATCCTCAAACTGCAGGATCCTGAGTCTCTGGTTAGCTGACACGCTCAGCTCGTTGCTGTTTCGGCCTTTGAAGGTGTAGAGAGCGTAATAGACCTGCCAGACAGAGGTACAGGGGGGAAGTGTCAGTTGGACGGTCATGCCACACAGCCTTGCTGTTGCATTGTACAGCTTTTGCTCCTCTCCCCAAACAGTGACAGCCCCAGGCCATGCTGGCCTCTGACAGAGCTGTCCCCAGCTGCAGCCTAGTTCTCTGTCTCTGCACCTCTGCTGCTGGGAGAAAAGGTCCCATCCTCTGCTTCAGCCCTCTGGGATAAAGCAGTCTCCACCTCTACCTGGCTGCTGCCAGGGAGGAGGATGATTCAGGCCCCACTCAAGCAAGGGGGTCAGTCCTCAGTATCCCCAGCCCACAGGGTGGCTGAGGGCTCACCTGATTGCCCTCTGACTCGCCGCTCTCCAGCCCAGAGTCTCTGTCCTCCACCGAGGGCATAGGCCTGAGATGCACTTTAGCGGGGTGTCCATTGCGAGACCCAGGGCTGCAGCCCAGCTCGGTGCGGCTGTAGCGGCGCCGAGATGTCACTGTACCAGCCTCCAGCGGAGCCGTCCTGTCACCAGAGCCAGGCTGGGGCACAGAGGGGGAGTCTGTCTCTGAAGGGGGCTGTGCAGACTGGTATGAGTCTGCCGGGGATGCTGAGTCCTGCAGGGGTTTCTGAGTGAAGGTGACGGCCACCCCACTGGGGCTGAAGGTCAGTGTGGTGTTGCTGTGGGGAGAAGAGCTGCTGTGCTCTGACTCATTGGAAGAGTGGCTGCCCACAGAGACGTCCGACTGGCTGCGGCGCGGGTTGTAGGGCTTCAGAAAGGAGCTGTACACAAAGCCCTTAGTCACTGCAGAGAGAAAGAAGAAGGGAGCTCAGACTGGGGACCAGGGGGACCAGAAGAGGGGAGTTGCAGCAGGCGCCGAGGGCAGGGAGCAGCCACCTACCCCCATTGTCTATGAGCCAGCGATTCTGGCTGCCCATGGGGTCCTTCTTCTTGATGACACCCACAATGTCTCCTTCCAGCAGTGAGACATCCAGGTCTTGGGCAGCATTGAAATTGCGATCCGCCTGGAAGAGACTGTCTGGGGGATAGCGGGCCAGGAGGGCAGCTCGGATGTCATCCGACTGCAGGAGGTAGCTAGGCTGCAGAGGAACAAGACATGTGTGAGCAGTTGTTCCCAGGCTTCCCTAACAAGCCCTGACATGGGGCAGAGGGAACTCACCAAGCCTACAAGGGGCTGCCGCCGGGCAGACTGCCGCTCCACACTCTTCCTTTCAAAAGGCTTCTTGGGAGCTGCCTGGGACTCTGGGAAGAAGGTGAAGGCCTGGAGCTGCTGGAGGACTCGACTGTGCTCATCCTGGAATACTGCAATGAGGTTCCCCTCCCTGCCAGACACCTTCAGCAACTGGAACCAGAGCAGGGTTGAGGGTCAGAGCTAGGCAACAACTGCTGGGAAAAGTGGCTAAGAGCTACAGCAGAGACCACACCAGCTCCTGGGCCAACCAGGGCTCTGAAGCCCAGATTCGCAGTCCTGTCTGGACCCAGTTCTGAGTGGTCTCCAAACTCATGACCTGAGGTTGTCCCAGGCACGTGCTCTCCTGTCACTGTTCCAGGAGCAGCCAGAGCCTTCACCATCTCTATGCACCACTGCGTCATGACCCTGCAATCCCTGCCCTGACAGCATCCTACAGGAGCCCTCCCCAAGGCACTCTGGGCCTAAAACTGCAGCAGCAGCTTCCCCCACAATGGGACGGTTCCCAGAGAGGCTCAGGGACATGCCCTGCGCAGAAATTAGCACTGCACTGAGCCCAGAGCACTGGCTGTGCTCCGGGAACCCACCGACAACAGGGGTCTCAGCTCCTCCAGGGCGAGGTGCACAAAGTCGCAGTGCGCCTTGGCATAGCCCCGCACGCAGCTGGCAAACAGCTCCTTGGCGAAGCGCAGGAACTTGGGCAGCTCGTCCAGCAGCTGGGCATTGAGGGCCTCGTAGTTGTTGCGGGCTGACTGCAGCTCCTCCAGCGTTCGCTTGTCCTTCAGCTTCTCTGCTCGCTCTGTGCAGTTGTGGAAGTCAAGGAGCTTGTCGAAGCGTTTCTGCACCAGCTTGTGGGGCCCCGCAAACATGCTCAGCAGCTGGTTCAGGGGAGAGGTCACCAGCCGCTCCGTCCGCTCTTTCTGGTGGGCAGAGATGCAGAGGGCGGGTGAGATGAGGTCTCTCTCCCACTGTGCAACAAACACTAGCAGCTCACTCTGCAGCACACAACTTCCCCAGGACAGTATGGGCTCAGTCTTCCCAATGGCACCCACCAATGCTCCAGAGGTCCCTTCCAGTAGGAATTATTCTATTATTTTATGTAAACATGCCAGCGTGGGCAATGCTATGGGAAGTACGTGAACCACTCACGTAGAGAGCTGTAACATTTCAAGTAGGGCTGAAAAAATGTTTATCTAACAGGCACACTCGATACATATCATAAACCTACAGGTATCAAAGCTCTCACGAGGCACGAGCCAAACAGGAGCACTCACACCTCTCCCGGGCTGTGTTACCCTCCCTGCAGTCTCTCAGGGACTGCCCATCTGCAGCAGGCCCCCAGGGAGGGCCCCAGAGAGGTGCCTGCAGCCTGTGAGAGCACAGCCTCACTCACGAAGTTGGAGAACAGCTGGTCGCTGATAAGCCGATTCACTTTCTGGAACTGGTCCAAGTCCCCACTGCCCTTCTCCATGCACAGGTCCCACATGCTCACTGCTGCCAGTGCCTTCATGCAGGCTGACTCCTGCAGGGACACACAAGTCAGCACAGTCATGCTTGCTGCCCAGAAGAGGCCTCCCAGGGTAGCCCAGACCTCCAGAGACCACACCCTGGCAGGGCTGAGGGCAGGAGCACACGCCAGGCACACACCACACATGCAGGTGGGGCAGTGCATGGCAAGCCCCATGGGTTAGGCATCACACCCAGACTGACTCACACGGACGTGCTGCAGGTAGAGGGAAAGGTCCCGGATGAAGGACTTGATCAGCCGCTCTTGCATCCGGAAATTTTTCTCTGTCTCCTCAAAGGCTTCATCCTTCAGCTGTGAGAGAAAATGTCTCAAGGGAGGCAATTCAGGACTCCAGCACCTTCCAGAGTGCAAGATGTGGGGCCTCCTGCCCACAAGCCAGACAGCAGAGACAGTTCAGACCCTACACTCACTCTGCCTTGCTGGCCTGGATCACAGCTACTCATCAGGGAAGGGGTGTGGGGGGACAGCAGATACCACCACCTCCTCAAGCACTGCAGGATGTAAGTGCTCCTGGCAGCCGATGCATGTTACCTGGGGTGCAAAGCCTGTGAGATGCTTGAGGTGGCTGCTCACACGGTTGGATTTCTTGATGATAGAGTGGAAGTTGAGCTTGGAGATCTTCTCCATGAGGCTATCCTCATCCCCTTTCCGGTACTTTAACACTAAAGAAATTGATGTAGAAATCAGAACCCTTGTTAGCATGACACCTATGTCTTACAGTGCCCCATCAACAATGGCCTTGATGGCTCTTTCCTTCCCTAAGCCTGTGCAGTCCCAAGTGCCCCACATCCATTCCATTCCATTCCATTCCATTCCATTCCATTCCATTCCATTCCATTCCATTCCATTCCATTCCATTCCATTCCATACATCATCTTGAAATGCAGCACTGTGCCACCTGTAGTCCCCTATTTGGCTCTCGATATGCCCTACAGTTTGTAGGCCCACCATTCAAACTCTTCCATAGGATTATGCATAGTGTTAGCATAAAATGACATAGGAGATAGTGTACAATAATCACTGGACATATTAGAAGGTGTTTATGTTACTTCTTTAGCAATATGAGCAATCATTACAGGCAGCCTATGTCATCTCAGCTTCAGTGGGGCTATGTGGAAAGAGTAAAGTGTAAGACTTGCATGAGTCAGGGACTTCCAAGAGAGAACAGCGGGAGTGGCCAGCAGGTCAAAAGGGGATAATTTTCCCTCTGTTCAGTACCGGTGATGCTGCACCATGTCCAGTTTTGGTGCTCCCAGGTCAAGAGGGTCATCAAGAGAACGAGAGCTACTGACCCACAGGGATTGCTCAGGTCCTGCAACAAGAGCTGGGGGAGCTGGGTGGGCTCAGCCCGGCTGGGAAGAGGTGGAAGGGGATCTGCTCACAGCCAGCAGCTACTTGAAGGGCAGCTACAAAGGTGATGGAGCCAAACTCCTCTGAGCAGCGCCAGGCAATACAACGAGGGGCAGTGGCCATAGATGGCAGCCTGGGAGCTTCAGGGTGGATCAGGCAGCACAGCTTCACCTCAAAGGTGGTGCAGCCCTGGGACAGGTCAGCAGAGAGGCTGTGAAATCTCCATCCTTGTGGGTCAGTGAGAATTGGCTGAAAGGAGCAATGGCTGATCAGAGTCCATGTTGGGGACAATCCTGCTCCAAGCAGAAGGCTGGACAGGAGATTCCAGAGGGCTCTGCAGCTAGCACCTCTGTGGTTCTCTCCTGTCTACAGATACACCTTCAAACTTAAGTCTCCAAATCTCAGTAAGACACGAGACTGCCCTAGCAGATTAACTCCCTACTTGTGTTGTTTAAAATTGCATTTTTTAACTTTAAGTATGTATTCTTTTGTGTTATCATTTTTATTTTCATTTAATAGCCACATGGTCAGCAACTGCATACATTTCATTATCTCTGTATAACAAGAAATTGACCTAAAGTCAGGTGTGTACTGTATAGTAGTATGTATTGTATCTCATGCTCTGATTTTTAAATGCAGCTGTCCTACTGCCCTGCTGTGAGGGCAGTCTATTGGGGACAGATTCCCACCACGACTGTGGCTGCCAGCTAATGCTCAGGAGCCGACAGACACCAAGCTCAACACACCCACTCCTATCCCTTTGCTCCCCAGCACACCCCAGCTACCCACCCAGGTCCTTCCGGCGCTTGTACTCGTTGATATTGACGTTGATTTCCTTGACTGCGAGGACAGCAGCTGTGAGTGGTGCCTTGTCAGGGTGAGCCTCGGGGGTGGCGCTCAGCAGCTCCATCAGCAGCAGTGGGTACCTCATCACCCTTTGCACTGGCTTGATGAGGAAGGAGCCCAGGTTAATGTAGTTTGTGCAGCCCCTGGGAAGTTGGGACAAAGGAGATGCACCAGGTTTCAGTCCAGCTCTGCCACACAAATTCTGCTCTCTCAAACCAACCCCAACCAGACCCAGAACACCAATGCCTCTAAGTCCACTGTACTCCCTAAGTCATGCCGCCCTCACTTCCAAACTCGCTGTACTCTTGAACCCCTGGTGCTCCCAAATGAACCCCAAGTTTCCAGACCTCACACACCAGATGACCCTTCCCAGGCAGGATCCTCTCTGTCACCAGACCCACTGTGAAATCCCACACAGGCACAGGCTCACTGGTAAGGCACTTACCAGAGTGCCACTTGCTTCAGACTCTGTCCCACCACCCAACTGCCCAGACCTGTCCCCAGTGCAGGACACATCGACTGTGCTCAGGACTGTAGTCAGTGCAGGGCTCTCCTGGCTCCTGGGGGCTGACAGCTCCCAAAACCTGTTTCCTCCCCAAGACCTCCCCTCGCTTCACGACCTGCCTGTGCTGCCTGCCTGCATAGCCTACTCGTTGCCTCTGCTGCGGTTGTGTCACAGACACCCTGTTCTTCCCAGACGTGCCTCCACGAGGCATCGTTAGGGATCCCCAACATGCACCCAGCTGGTGATGGGAGGTTAGTTACAAGGGAGCAGCCAGGCCAGGCCAGACGGACAAGCAGGGACTAAGAGGAAGGATGCACTTACCACTCACTGTACAGGCTCCTGCCGGCCCACAGAGTGCCAAAAAGCAAAGAAAAGCAATGGGTTAAATGGGCGGCAGGCGTGCAATCCCACAGCCAGCACCTTCGCCCCATCCTGCAGTGATGCTGCCAAGGCAGTGGGCAGCCCTGTCCCCCCTAGAGCAGCAGCCAGTGCTGCTGGCTCCCAGGGCATTAATCTGCACAAGCTGGAGCCCTGGCAGTTGCTGAGCCAGGCAAAGTGGCTCCTTTCCTCACCAGCCATGGTAGGGCGGGGCTTGAGGAGGAGCCCTCAATCCAGGACATGCTGCCTCTCTGTACCTTGGTGGCTTCTGCACAGAGTTTAAGGGGGCCTACAGGTGTCCCAGCACCTGTGCACTGGGGCAGGGAGGCATTTGAACCCAGAGCCTGGTCACTTATGCAGCAACACAGCCAGCCCCTCTCCAGTCACCACCTGAACTCTCCCAGCACTGCTTGTAGAGGGGCAGGGATGTTGGAGACTGACCCCCCTACCCCAGCCTGGTGGCTGCCATAGCCATAGGCTCCAACCTGAGGCTATCCAGCAGGTCCAGGAGTAGTTTCTGCATCTTCTCATCCTTCTCATAGGTCTCCAGCAGTGCGATGGCCTCATCATGGTTCTGGCAATACACCCTGTAGATGCTCTCCAGCTCTGCACGCTGTGCCAGGAACACTGGCCCTGCACACAGCAGCAAGGCAGGGCTTCAGTGCCTCCTGGTTCCCAGTTGCCTTCAACAACCCATGCAAGTCTCATGTGAGATGCCCAGAGTCCCCCTTCCACCCACACAGCTCAAGAGGACTAGAGCAACCAGGATGCCTCCTCATCACCCTCAGCATGCCCATGCATCCTTCCTGCTTCCCTGTTGCCGCAGGCCAGGGGGACAGAAATGGGAAGCTGCGTATCAAAGGTCTGCCAAGGCAAGAAGGCCCCAGGCTGAAGTTGAGGGTGTGTTCAGATGTAGCACTTAGGGACATGGTTTAGTAGTGGACTTGGCAGTGTTAGCTTCATGGTCGGACTCGATGATCTTAAAGGTCCTTCCCAACCTAAATGATTCTATGATTCATGATAACTCACTACGACACGTTCACTTGTGCTTTGAGGGGACTGATTACCTAGCTGAAGAGCCCCCAGGGGGACCCCAGGAGCCACCAGCCCAGAGACCTCAATTGATCCAGCTCTCCCAGAGGTGAGGAGCGGGGACACTGGTCAGTGGCAGAATGGGTGGGGAGCTACATGGAGAGCAAAGGCAAAGGCTGCCCAAGGCCTTAGCAGCAAAAACTGGCAGCACAGGAGTGAGGAATGGGGCTCCCTTTGGGGCAAGGGGCCAGGGAGGACCACAAGCATTGTGTTTCTCAGCATAGCGATCCATGGGATAACACAGATCTCCTTGTGGCTTCACTGCTGGACTGATGACCAGCAACAGGGACCTGCGGGGTGGAAACCCAACCCCAGTGACAATCTTCTGCAATTTAAACTACTCTGTTCCGCCCAGCCACTAGCAAAGCCCATCCCAGTGTGCTGAGAAAAGGTAACAGCAGAATTCATACCGATGGCATCTGAAGCCTCCAAGGTGGACAGCAGCTGCTTGGAGAAATTAATTACCATGTGGATGTTTCCAAAAAGACCCTCGAAGTCTATGTTCTGCATCTGGGGAATGGGAAGAAAGATGTCCTGGATGGTGGAACATGTCCTGAACAGACCCAGCAACACCCCCTTGCTCTCCTGCAACCCATCAGTCCTCAGCTCCACAGCAGCCACCTGGTTGTAAACCTCCTCCCACCACAGTGACTTCTGTACTCACTCCCTTGCTCCCCAGTGCACTGAAACTCTCACTCCTTCTGTGTCCTACCAAGCACTGTGTCTTCCTCTTTCCCAGCAATTTCATCCCTGCCTCTGTTCACCTGACAGTCTCCCTCTCTCCCACCGACTCTGTCCTCATGCCAAGACTCCGTATTTTCTTTTGCCTGACAATGAATTTAACCTACAAACCAAATGAAAAGGAACATTTCCTGCCCCTGGAAATGAATCTGTGGTACTTGCTGACAGGTCTTTTGCCCTCAGCAATGGTGAGATTGTAGCTGGATCCCAAAACAGATGGGCTATTTCTATGAGTGCAGGGAGCAGCAAGAACCATCCTGCTCTCCTCAGCACAGGTGAATTTCCCCTGTGGGTTCCTGTGCAGCTGCTTGGAAGTTTCCAAGAACAAAGTGGACTCCGTATCCTCACCCCATCCCACCAGCGCTGCACTGTAGGTTGACCCCATGCTCCTACCTGTGCCTGCTGCAGAGGCACCATGATCCTCTCCACACACATCTCCAGGTCTCGGATATAGTCCCGCTCTGTCTGGAGCAGTTCCTCAATAACCTTAGACCTCTTCTCCAGCATCCTTTGTTCTGGGCTCTCAGTGGCAGCCGACGATGTCTCCAAGGATGGTGTCTGGGAGGACAGGAGAGTCATCTCTGCAAGACAGACACGCAAGATCAGCATCTGCCAGCAAGGATGCAATGACAGAAGACAAGCAGCACCTGAACTGCGCCACACACCACCTATGAGACCGACAAACACGACTGTTAAGAGAGCAGGACTATCCACATAAGGATCTTCCTGGAGAGTCCATTCCCGGCGCTCCCAGAGCCAGGGCAGCAGGGAGCCCCAGTTTGCTCCCACAGCCTGCCCTCGCAGCACCAGTAACTCTGCGATGCTCTGGTATCAGGGAAGCTGGCACCAAGCAACACAAACCTGCTCCAGACTCATCTCCCAGCGCCGGCTGGGTCCAGACACCTCTTCTACCCCTGGTCTCCAACTCTGCTGCTCCAGGAAACTCCGTGGGGCTGAGCAGATGGGGAGAGGAGCCCCGCTCCCCTCCTTACCCTCTTCCCAGACAGCAATGGCGGCTGCCCCCTTCTCTCAGGCTAGGAACAGGGTCTCCATTCTCCAGCCGCGGGGGCATTTCCATCTGAATGGCCGTAAAAGGCCTCC